CCCCCCCCCCCCCCCCCCCCAAAATCCACTAATAATGATTGGGTTTTGCTGTGTTTTAGGTTTGGAACTTCGGACAATGGCGGGCTATACATTCTGTTTTCAAAAGGAACTCACACCAACAGACATTTCAAGAAATCTAGAAATACCAGAGTGGGCACTTGACTTGCCTCCTGGAAATGAGAGTATGCATGTAGTGGACCCAAATGCAGACATCACCTGGGAATTTATATGCTCAACAAGGAGCAGCGGTCGACGCTCGATGACGCACCAGTGGATTGATTTTGCAAAGAAGAAGGAACTTAGGCCAGGTGACGTACTCCGATTCTATCGGTGGACGAATGGAGATGGGTATTTCATGGTGCTTGAACGCCATAGCATCCGACTCTTTGGTGTGACCATATACTTATCAAAGCAGGTAGTTTCCTCGGTTTTCGACTTTCTGTGATGAATTTTGACCTTAAACGATAGGTTGGAGCTGGTGCTGGTGCTCGTGGGGCCGATCGTCCCTTCTAGGATTTTTCAGATGACTCCATAACAGATCATTCTCTTTGGTATGGATGAATTCACATTTGTGGTGTACAGTCAAGTGGAAGGAGAGAGTAAAAAAAATCAGCTGTGTGATTTTTCTTTTTCTTTTTTTTGGGACCACGTCTATAATGTGGGGTCCACATGCAAAATGACTTTTGGACCCTCGCCTGTTCGGTCATCTTCTCCGACGCCGGTCATCGTCCTCATCATCAAGCACCACTTCAAAATTCTTGGCGTTCAATTCCGTTAAAGCAGTCATGGGTCTTGCCTACAAATATTCTCTTCTTGTAATCTGTTCAAAACATTGTAATCAAGTATGTGTTTGTTTGATAGGATTGTTTGGGTATTAGGAGCAATGATCTCACCTAGAACACAAAAATTTACACAAGAATACAGCAAAACCGGGGCAAACAAAAAAACCCTGATACAGGTATCATTCCAATTCAATCCAAAAAAACAAGTCTATTTCATCAAAATTGACTTACAATATCAAGCAATACAAGGGGATACTTATCCGAGTTTTTTTTCAGCAAGAATGGAGCTGCTGCTCCTTCCCCACACAGTACTGCACCAAATCTGTTTTTTTCTGGGCAGCAACTCTCACTTTTCTTCTCTTCTCTCTCTCTCTCTCTCTCCAGCAGAGAACTCCAGGAGCTGTTTAAGACCAAACCCAAGCAAGTTGCTGGGATCCACCAATCAAAAGACACAAAAATAATCTAATTGCTACTAAGGACAAAGAAACTCATGCTTTGCAAGCAGGCTCTTTGCATCTGATTCTTTTGGAGCATGGTTAAAAATATCGGCTGAGGCCGATCCGACGCGGTCCCTACCGAATTGACAATGATACGCGTTATAATAGATCTTCAAGTATCACTCGAATCAGCCTTAATTCAGAGACGATTCAGTAAAATCGGTATAATTTGGATTTTATTCGGTCAACTCGGACTCGTAACCGAATCAGATGATTTGTGTTGAAAATCACAGAAATTAGTCAAAAATATCAAACCACTGGCCAAAATTCAGTAGAAGGACAAGAAAAAAAACATGAAGATAACACCCATTTGAAAGAGGAACGAATCTGTAAGAAACCCAAAAATTCAAGAGAAACCCACGTACAAATCAAATTAGAAACAATTTTTCAGTTTTCCACAGTAGACTCATATGATACGGACAAAATTTTAAAAAAAATTAGAGGCAAACTTGGAAAAATCAAGCCCGTGCAATTGCAAGGGAGTCTCGTTCTCCTTGCTGTTCTTCTTCTCTAGTTATCCTTGCCTTCATCTCGTGACAATCAATAGGAATGAGGCTTGGAAATTGGAGCTCCAATCACACTTCAACTTCCATCTCTCTCTTAAAAAAAAACTTCCATCTCTCTCTATTGTTATCTATGTGTTTGTCACCGAACAATGTGCAAGAGCTAAAGAGGCACATATGTTTTATCAGTAAGTGGGATCATTTATTGTTTTTAGTTATAATATTTTATTTGTTAATTAATTGTTAAATTCTTCATTTGTTTTTTCTGTGACCCAATATTAACTATATGTGGCTGGGTCTTTTTCTATTAACTAACAACTAATTGCTTAATTAATCTGTTGCATTGTATTTATATATTTAATTAATTAATAACAATATTTAGACTTAATTTGATGTCCTAATTTATTGTTATCATTGAATATTGGCAATACATCTAATACTAATTGTGACTCTTTATGTTCTTCAATACTTAAATTGGACATTAATAATAATAAATATTCGCGGTAACACCCTTATGTTTTATTTTGAGTTATTTTTATGTGCAAGATTACGTGTTTTAGATACATGATGCATGAATGATGATACTGATAGATTTTAGAATTTTTCATTATTTTTTCAACAAATTTTGGACCTTGTATCTAATATTTTGAACGTATTGACCAAAACCACGCCACTATACAACGACTAATATGTATCAGTACCCTTCGAATCGAAGACCGATACCACGACCTTAAACCACGTTTTGGAGTGACCACAAACATCAGCAGAAGTTGGATCTATACATACCATCAGAGGAGGAGGTTGTGTTTTTAGCTTACCCACGAATGAATCTTGATTACATCAATAAGTTTCCTTTGAAATCTTGTTTCCACTTTTTGAGTTTGACTGTTTTAGGAGTGTTATCTACGTCATATTTTGAATCTTTGATCTTACCAATAGTTTGTGGCGGTGGTGGTGCTGTACAATTCAGTGGTAATTGTGGTGATGTGCACTTCAGTGGTGGGTGGTGGATAAGGAGATGCTTTTAGCCAATTAGATATTCCGATTCTCTTTTATGAAGAAAAACTACTTCTCTCGATTTAGGTTATTTCCACTCAAACATTTTCTTTTAGTATCCTCCCATTAAACTCTTGATTATCAAAACCACCAAGAAAAAAACCCAATGATTCGTATCTTTTCTGTATTTTTCCCTTTGTTATGTACCTCCTTGTTTTTTTCTTTATTTAATACTTCCTTGTTATTTTTTCCTTCCTTGATGTACTGTGTTACACTTATTTATAACCATGAGGCAAAATAACCTAATCATACTCTCAATATATTCTTATCTGTCAGCTTTTCCTTTCTTAATCTATATCTGCAAACTATATGTTTTATATAACTCACATTAGTTTTAATAATTTGATTACATACTTATCAACGAAAGTCTCACCACACCTAGGGGTCATATTTATAATATTTTAGTTTAATACACTCACATGATCTATACATTTTTTTTCAAATACAATCACATTAATCTAAACAATTTCACTATCTCCTAAAACACATGTTCTAACTATCTTGCAAGGGGGAGCATATCACTAGTTGCAGTGGAACGGCAAGCAATTTGAATGTTCAAGTCCTTAGTAGGAGATATGTTCAAGTGGTAACGAGACAAGCTGTAAATTTTTTAAGTTTAAATTTTGACAATTCTTTAAGGCTAGATTATGAGAAATTTATCCTTTAAGAATACTCTCATCTCAGCATGGATTACTTACCTCTGATCGGACCAAAGAGAGCTGCGCATAAAATTTATCTCTTTTATTTCCCCGCTAACAACCTTCACCTACATGCCCCAGCTCCACCACCACCAGTTCACCATCACTGCTAAATATCATAGCCCTATTACCATCACCACAATTCCACCAAGTTAAGCCTCCAACAAACATTCTATATCTCCTTCTGTCCTCAATTTCCCCCCCCCCCCTTTTTCAACAATTAAGCAGGTCATCTATGTCAGAATTAAAATATTCATGAAAGATAAATCTCTCATAATTTGACCTTAAAAAATTATCAAGATTCAAATTCAAAATATCTGAATTTACAACTCCTTTCAATTATAACTTGTAGCACATACTTAGTGCGCATGCTCAATCTCCTTTGAAATATTCGTAAACTAAGTTCAATGCAACAACATTGGAAGTGATTGTTTGACAATTCAACGAGAGGTTCGCTACATCATCACGTAAAGAAACTTAATTAAGAATGGTCTATAAAAGTTAAGTTTGATTTTTTTGTAAAGAGATACGTCATCACTGGACACAAAAAAAAAACTTAATCATACTCTCAGTATATTCTTATTTTTTACCTTAAAACTTAATCATACTCTCAGTATATTCTTATTTTTTAGCTTTTTCTTTTTTAATCCAATATAGACTGTATAGTAGACCTATCACTGAAGGATTACCTTTCGTCCAATAGTAATATCTAATTAACCATTTTCTTTTCTCGTTTGATACATAAAAAAATTAATCTATATCTGCAAACTATATATGTTTTATATAACACACATTAGTTTTAATACTTTGATTTCGTACTAATCAAAGAAAGTCTCAGTACACCAAGGGTCATATTTATAATACTATAGTTTAATTCACTCAAATGATCTATAATTTTTGTTCAAATACAATGGCATTGCACTCTCTCCCAAAACACATGCTCTAACTAGGGTGCACGATGGAGCATCTCACTGGTTGTAGTAATTTGAACGCTCAAGTTAATTAGCACAAAATATTGCATATCTTATGTACATTTGCACCCTTTTTATGCTAAAAGTCATACTTCAGCAACAAATTTAATTTTTTGTCAATGAAAACTTTTATTTTTTGGTGTCGCTTATTTATTTTGGTTGATGATATATTAATCCAAGTGTAGCGTGAATTTGTTTTTCCCTTGCTTCAACTTTTGACGATGAATTTAAAATTTTGCCATTGTAACCTTATTATTATTTTTTTTTTGCGCAAAAAATCTTCGAAAATCCTCTACTATTTTCAATGGCCAAATTGTAAATTGTGGGAAAAACTTTTGGCGCCAATGAATTAAGAGAAGGGAAAAGATTTTAGGGGTGAAATTTAAATTTAAAGACTCCCATTGAGAGAAAATAGGTTGTGGGGATAAATAAAATAATTGGTTAATTGCACCAGAGGTTCTCAAAGTATAAAGTTTATCTTATTTTGGTCTCCAATATTTCAATTTTATTATTTTGATCCCTGAAGCATGAAATATATTTCTGTGTAGTCCCTCAAGTAGACAACATCTAAATTGCTAATGATTTTTGATCATATACTTGTCGCATGATACCTAAATATGAAAAAAAAATAATAATAATTTGAGTAGCTCTTGACTAAAATTTAGATAGCTCTTGACAAAAAAATGTGTAGCTCTGGGTTAAAATTTGGATAACTTATTATCAAAATTATGTAATTTGATTAATTCTTTGACTAAAGTTTAAGTAAAAAATTGGTCAAAGAAGTATCAAAATTATTTTTTCATCTATATTTAATTATTATATGACAAGTTTATAATAAAAAAATTATTAGTAATCTAGATGATGTCTGCTTGAATAACCACATGAAAATATATTCAATAATTCAGGGTCTAAAATGATACCGTTAGAATATTAAAAAC